AAATGAACTACAGATGTAAAGACCCCCAAAGAATATGCCCTAAAATATAGCAAACATTCTCCTGGATTGAAGTCGAGAAAGAACTTGGCTCCCCGGTTTCTGTGAGGAGGGAGTAGAGAAGAGCACATGTGAAGAGTGAATCCCTGCAGCGGTGAAGCAGGTGCACAAACTATTTTGCATAGATGTTGTTCTCAAACCTGAAGGAACAGACACTCCCTAGACGGAAGGAGTGGAGTGAGGGGATGGTGAAGCATTCAGGATCAAGATGAAACTGAGGAGTTCATAAGAATGAGGAGTCAATAAGCCTACGTGCAAGGGTCAAATTGATCACAGGGGATCTTGTTCTCCATACTGAGGATCTTGGGCTATAACTGCATGGCAAAGAGGAAGTAGCTTCCAGATCACAATTTTATTTATTTATTTTTAAAGATTTTGTTTATTTATTCATGAGAGATATATACAGAGAGGCAGAGACACAGAGGGAGAAGCAGGCTCCATGCAGAAGCCCGATGTGGGACTCGATCCCGGGACTCCAGGATTGCACCCTGGGCTGAAGGTAGGAGCTGAACCGCTGAGCCACCCAGGCATCCCCAGATCATGATTTTAAACCAGTTTTGCAGCAGAGTAGAAGATGGACATGAGGATAAGGAAAATTACTTATGTACATGCAAAAACCTGTACAGTGTTTATTGCAGCATAAATAGTCAAAACAACCAAAACGTCCATCAATAGATGAACTGAAAATATGTGGTATAGCCAAACAATGGAATATTATTTGGGCACAAAAAGGAATAAAGTACTGATAACACAGGCCACAGCATGGATGAATCTTGAAAACATAATGCTACATGAAACAGCCGGTCCACAAAAGCCCACATAAATGATTCCATTTATATGAAATGTTCAGGATAGGGATCCCTGGGTGGTGCAGCGGTTTAGCGCCTGCCTTTTGGCCCAGGGCGTGATCCTGGAGACCCGGGATCGAGTCCCACGTCGGGCTCCCAGTGCATGGAGCCTGCTTCTCCCTCTGCCTGTGTCTCTGCCTCTCTTTCTCTCTCTCTCTGTGTGACTATCATAAATTTAAAAAAAAAAAAAAAAAAAAAGAAGAAAAAAAGAAATGTCCAGGATAGGCAAATATATGGAGATACAAAGTTGGGTGCCTGGGTGGATCAGTGGTTGAGCGTCTGCCTTTGGCTAGGGCATGATCCTAGGGCCCGGGAATTGAGTCCCGCATCGGGCTCCCTGCATGGAGCCTGATTCTCCCTCTGCCTGTGTCTGCCTCTCTCTCTCTGTCTGTCATGAATAAAAAAATAAAACCTTAAAAAAACACACACAAAAAAAACCCCCACAAAACTTCATTCTTAGAGTTTTCATTACTAGCATATAGGAAATTCAAGTGATGGGGTGCCTGGTGGCTCAGGTAGTTAAGCATTCAACTCTTGATTTTGGGTCATGTCATGACTTCAGAGACATGAGTTTCCTGTGGGCTCTCAATCATGTGATTGAGCCCACAGTGGACTCTGTGCTGGGCATAAAGTCTGATTACGAATTTCTGTCTCCCTCTGCTCCTCCCCACCCAAACTCACTCTCTCTCTTAAAAAAAAAAACAAAACAAAGAAATGTAAGTGATTTTAGTATACTGACCTGTATCCTGCAATTTAACTGAATGTTTATTAGCTCTAACAGTTTGTTTGTTAATTCTTTAAGGTCTTCTAGACATAAATCATGTTATCTACAAACAGAGATGATTTTACTTATTCCTTTTCAATAACTTTTCTCTCTTGCCCAACTGTTCTAGCTAGAATTTCCAGAAAAAACACTGAATAGAAGTGGTAAGGGTGGTGGTACCTGGGTGGCTCACATGGTTAAGTGTCTCCCTTTGGCTCAGGTCATAATCCCAGAATCCTGGGATCAAGCCCCAAGTCAGGCTCTACTCAGCAAGGAGCCTGCCTCTCCCTTTCTCTCTGCCTGCTCTTCCTCCTGCTTGTGTGAGCACGCTCCCTCTTTCTGTCAAATAAATAATAAATATAATCTTTAAAAATAAAGGTGGTGAGGGGGACATCCTTTCTTGTTCCTGATCTTAGAGGGAAAGCTTCCAAAGTCTTTCACCATGAAGTATGCTATCAGCTGCAGGTTTTGCACAGATGCCCTTTAACAGACTGAGAAAGTTCCCTTCTATTCCTAATTGCTCAGTTTTTTTTTTTCAAATCAGAAATGGGTATTTAATTTTGTCAAATATTCTTTCTATGCCTATTGACAAGTTTATCTTGTTTTTTCCCTCTTTATTCTACTGAGATATATATTACACTGATTTATCATATCCTGAACCAACCTTGCATTCTTGGGATAAATCCCACTTGGTCATAGTATATGATTCTTTTTATCTGCTCCTGGATTGTTTGCCAGTATTTTGTTGAGAATTTTTGCATAATGAATATTAACACATGGTTTTCTTTTTTCTTCCTTTTAAAGATTTTATTTATTTATTCATGAGAAACAGAAAGAGAGAGAGAGAGAGAGAGAGAGAGAGAGAGAGGCAGAGACACAGGCAGAGGGAGAAGCAGGCTCCATGCAGGGAGCCTGATGTGGGACTCGATCCTGGGACTCCAGGATCACGCCTTGGGCTGAAGGCAAGCGCTAAACCGCTGAGCTACCCAGGGATCCCCAACACATGGTTTTCTTATGACTTTCTTTCTGGCTTGGTTATCAGGGTAATATTGGCCTCACAGAATGAGGCAGTGTTCTCTCTTCTGTTTTTGGAAAAGTTTGAGAAAGACTGGTGTTAATTCTTCTAAACATTTGGCAGAATTCATCAATGAAGCTATCTGGTCATGGGCTTTTTTTTTGTTGGAAGTGTTTTAATTATTAATTCAATCTCTTTTGTTGTTATAGATCTATTAAGATTTTCTTCGTGAGACTTTTTTTTTAAGATTTATTTATATGAAAGAGCACACACAAATGGGGGGAGGAGCAGAGGGGGAAGGAGAGAAACAAGTAGATTCTGCAGTGAGCAACAGAACCCAACATGAGGCTTGATCCCAGGACTCTGAGACCATAACCTGAGTCAAAACCAAGAGTCAGACACCCAATTAGCTGAGCCACCCAGGTACCCTTTTCTTTTTTTTTTTTTAATTTAAAGATTTTATTTATTTATTCATAGAGACAGAGAGAGGCAGAGACACAGGCAGAGGGAGAAGCAGGCATCATACAGAGAGCCTGATGTGGGACTCGATCCAGGGTCCCCAGGATCACGCCCCGGGCTGCAGGCGGCGCTAAACCGCTGCGCCACCAGGGCTGCCCCAGGTACCCTTTTCTTAAACTTTTTTTTTTTTTAATTTTTTTTTTATTTATGATAGTCACAGAGAGAGAGAGAGAGGCAGAGACACAGGCAGAGGGAGAAGCAGGCTCCATGCACTGGGAGCCCGACGTGGGATTCGATCCCGGGCCTCCAGGATTGCGCCCTGGGCCAAAGGCAGGCGCCAAACCGCTGCGCCACCCAGGGATCCCCTAGGTACCCTTTTCTTAAGTGATTTTTGACAATGTGTTTCTAAGAATTTGTCCTTTCATATTTAGGTTACCCAATGTGTCAGTGTGCAGCTGATCAGAGTATTTCCTTTTAAATATTCCTATGATTACTATTATTTACTAAGTAAATAAGTATTTCTTGTTTCTGTGAGGTCACTTGGGATATCCCCTCTTTTATTCCTGATTTTTAGCCAGCTATCTTTTTCCTTTGTCCATCTAGTTAAAGGTTTGTCAATTTGTTGATTTTTTAAGATAACCAATTTCTGGTTTCATTAATCTTCTTGCCTGTTTTGTCCGCTCTAATCTTATGTCTTTCCTTCTGATTGCTTCGGTTTGGTTTACTCTTTTTCTACTTTCTTAAAGTGAAAGGTCAAGTTATTGATTTGAGATGTTTCATTTTAAAGGTAGATGGCTATAAACTTCTCTCAGAGAGCTGCTCTCAGTGTCTCCTATAAGTTTCAGTATGTTGTGCTTCACTTTCACTCTCCTTATTTTCTATTTCCCTTGTGGCTTATTCTCGCTCTCTCTTTTTAAAGATTTTATTTATTTATTCATGAGAGACACGGAGTGAGAGGCAGAGACATAGGCAGAGGGAGAAGGCGACACCCTGTGGGGAGCCCAATGTGGGACTCGACCCCAGGATCCCAGGATCATGCCTCTGAGCCAAAGGCAGACGCTCAACCACTGAGCTACCCAGGTGCCCCTCTTGTGATTTATTCTTTGGCCCACTGGTTATTTAGAATTTAATTGTTTAAAACAAACAAACAAAAAAAAGAATTTAATTGTTTAATTTCCACTTAGTTGTGAATCTTCCTTCTGTTATACATTTCTAATTTTATTCCACTGTGGTCAGAAAAGATACTTGTTTAATCTCTATCTTTGTTCAAATTTATTGAGACATTTTATGACCCAACATATATCCTATCCTGTAATGTTCTATGTGCACCTGAGAAGAATCTTTACTCTGCTGTGGTTGGGTAGGTCTAATTAGTTATACACACACACATACACACACGCACACAAATACTACCTAGTATCAAGTTCAAGTCTTGCATGTCCTTGTTGATTTTCTATCTACTTATATCCTGATCATTTACCTTTTTTTTTTGCTGTGTAATTTTTTATTGCAGTAAAATATACATAAAATATATAACATAAAATTTATCATTTTAGCCATTAATGAAAATATTAAAGTAAAATAAGTCTATTTTCACTCTTAGTCCAGATGAGACCTCAATGAAGGCAGTTAACAGGACTTAAAGTATTATAGAAGAGCTGAATAAAAGTACTAGAAAGATTAGCTACTCTGTCTGGAAAGGTAAAAAACTGATGCCATCCAAGTGACACTTGGCCAAGTTTGGGATAGACTTTGTGTTGAATGTGTTCCTGAAATTCAGTACAGGATTTCTCCATTTAATGTGAGCCCTGGTATGGCCACTGCTCAATAGGACAAAGGAACCGATATGACTGATTACCTGATAGCCTTCTGTTTTCTTCTGACACCACTTTAGCAAAGCATTCCTCTTCGAACCTCCATATTCTCTCGCCAAAGCTGACAGAGGGTCCTTCCTTTCTTCCCTACGTGAAAATAAGGAACTGAAAGTTAAAATATACTTTATTTGAGCACCATTATAAACCAGAAACCCCACAAGGGAGAGTGCTGGTTTGCATTTTTGAGTAGGATAACTGCACACAGTAAAACATCTAATAGCAAGATGTATCTTTTCATTCATTTGATTTTACTTGTCAATTTTTACAGGGCCCTCAGAGACCTACCACTGTTGGGGGTTTCTGCTATCTGAAGGGAGGGACTCTTATTATCCACATGGAAACTGGCAAAGATTCAGTACAGTGAATCCACATCCACAATTGATGGAACACATTCCAGAATGCTCAAAAGGAGGAAAGATAACCTGACACAGCAGCATCTGAAAGCTGTCATGGCTGTCTTTCACTCAGTATCTTACCCTTCCATAATCTTTATGCTTTAGTTTTTTATTTTACTCATTTTGTCTCCTTTTATGTCCTCAATCATTTCCGCTTTTTTTTTTAAGATTTTATTTATTTATTCATGAGAGATACAGCGAGAGAGAGAGGCAGAGACACAGGCAGAGGGAGAAGCAGGCTCCATGCAGGGAGCCTGACATGGGACTCAATCCCAGGTCTCCAGGATCACACCCCAGGCTGCAGGCAGCACTAAGCCTCTGCGCTCCAAGGGCTGCCCTCATTTCCGCTTTTTAAAAAACAAATCACTTTCTATAAATACAAAAGGCAAGATTATGCAAGGGGAAGGGTTATAAGGCATACTTCCTACCTTCAAGGTGCTTACAACTGGGGAAGGCAGATAAGACACAGATGGCAACAAACAACCATAAAACATCTCAAACGTGTTTATTGCTAAGTTATACACTGGGCAATGGGTAGTGAAAACACAGGGGCCCTGCCCCCTCAAAGAACTTCAGATTTTACTATAAATAGATATACCACAGAAAAAGAAAAGAAGGAAGGAAGGAAGGAAGGAAGGAAGGAAGGAAGGAAGGACCGACCCAAAATGGTTACTTATAACTCATTTCTTAAAATTCTAGGGTACTTTTGGGTACTATTCAATTTCCTCAGAGGCAGAACAAATATCTTGCTCTAGATGAGACAATGAAAGAGAAAAGATTTGTGATCACTTGTGTTGATGCAAAGGAGGTATATAACCCTGTATATCCTGAACCAAATCCTTCCTGTTGGTAAGCACTTCAGACTACCTGGAGTGAGAGTACTTCTAAAATAACCTGCTCATTGACAAGTGGCATGCCCTTGAAAGCTTGGTGTATTTTTTAGGGATTACTTTATAAACAAAGCAGAGATTTTACCCCACACCCCATGAACTTAGTCCAATAACTGTCCTAAAGGTTCTTATGCTATAAGTGGCTTAGTATTTTTAGCACTGATTCTGTCTGTATTCACCCTTCAAAGTTAGGAAATCAAAGAGTACAGCTTAGAACTGAAGCTTTTCCAATTGAGAGGTGCACTGAAGCAGCCCCAGTTTGATTTATCTTAGAACCAGAAATAAAATACAAAAATTTCCAAAAACAGTTAAGACTGCTGCCCTGAAGAAATATACTTTAATGCTTGCATGCCACCCCACCGGACTCCTGCTTTGGTTTAAAAGTTCAAAGAAGTTTGTTATACCACTGAACGTAGGAAAAGAGAATGAACATAAAGTTAAGATATGTCAACAAACACAAAAAAGCGAGCCAAATAAATAAATAAATCTCCATCATGCTTAAAATAAAACTACTATAATCAGTGTGAAAGGTTTACTCTGGCTCACATCAGGTCTGTTTGTTTACAGAAACAGCTTAAAAAGCATCAAAGAATAATTCTATGGTCTATAATAGGAAGCTGCAGAAAAAGAGCCTCTCGGAGATGGAAGGTCATCTCTTATAACTTCTTCATTGTAAGATGAAGACACCTTCCAGGAGATGCCTTGTTGGAAGTCAAAGCTTCTGAGTAGGGAAGCCAGGAGGAGTGGGTGCCCTTTCCACAGGCACACTGTAGGTAGCCTACCACCCAGGACAGACACAAGCACAGAGAGCGCTCTCCCTACATCAGCCTGGGCAGAGCGACAGCCACCCTTATCACTGTACATCTACTTGCTCTGATGGTGCACTGTTTATGAGACCATTATTTCTAAGAGGCTGGGCCTCTAGAGGCAGGGCTCAAAACGTAAGTATATACTTTGAGTTTGAGAGGCCAACTATTCCATTTTATTCTCATACCTCTAAGTCAGTATAAAGCTAAATTAGTTTTGAAACTCACTCCTATCCCTCCTTCTTCTTAATATAACTCAACAGTTTTCCTCATCCCTATATACAATATATGCTGTGTTTCTTAAATGTTTTTTTCCCTCTAAATGATAATGACTTCTTAGTCCCAAATGACTTCTGACATATGAGAAATATGAATAAAATGTACTATTACATTTTCAGATATTGTTTACCAGTGATCAATGTGGCGTTATGTTCTCAGCTTCCAGTCTAAAACAATTAGAGTCCCCTTTGGTAGTTCTTCTTTCATTCCTTTTCTAGAAATCTATTGCCAAAATCAATCATCTCTCCCTTTGAAAAGGCTCCTGAGTCTCACGCTCCCTTCACCATTTCCACTGCTATCATCAAGATCCAGACTTGGGGGCAGCCCTGGTGGCGCAGCAGTTTAGCCCCGCCTGCAGCCCAGGGCATGATCCTGGAGACCCGGGATCGAGTCCCACAAGAAGCTCCCTGCATGGAGCCTGCTTCTCCCTCTGCCTGTGTCTCTGCTACTCTCTCTCTCTTTGCATCTCTATGAATAAATAAATAAAATCTTAAAAAAAAAAAAAAGATCCAGACTTGGTATCTTTGTCCAGGAACATCATGTTATTTTAGTTGTGTTCCCCAACTTTTGTCCACAACAGAAGAATCCTTGAATCACCTTCTCATGTTGATTTACTAATCCCACTTCATAGCTACTACCATATCCAAGTGACTTAAATGGTTCTATGCCTAGTTATACCCTACTGTCAATCTTTTCTTCTGCAGCCCCTGGATGTGGTAGGTCCACACCTTTCTCTGGCCTTCTGTACCCATCCTTTGTACATTTGCATTTGCAGTACCACCTATCCACAGCTCCCCCAACCCTCAGTTACTCACCCTTCTGTACTTTGGCTCCAATTGCCAACCCGTCCTCCCCACCCAGACACCACTCCTCTCAGAAGCCTTCCCTAACCCTCCACCCAAGCCCAGTATTCCGATTCTACAAAACTTACTTTTGGGGAAAGGAACCATCTTTTTCATGTTACCTTACTTTTTATTATACCATCTTATCCAATTCTGGGCATAGAAGAATAAAACATTTAATAACACACAAAGAAAAGAAAAATCAGTGCTTGATTGCCATTATTTACAACCTGATCATTAATCTCCAAAGGCCAAGAGAGGTAAGCATGAAATGCATCAGTATTAACTGTTCGCTACCTTATCCGACTTCGGGTGGTAGGGGTAACAGATGCCGTGGGAGAAGAGGACAGGGAAAGCTGTGGAGATGTGGTTCCCATAGCCATAAGAGAGGCCGGTGATGCTCCTTCAGGTGCAGAGATGTCTCGTTTCATCTCTTCACTACTTCGTCGAGACACTGATTGTGAGAAATAGTCATTATGCATTTTGTATAAATGCAGAAAAACATTTACTTTTATAAAACACTTTTAAATTGAGTTCTTGAGACATTTTCTTCAGCAGATTCCAAAATGAGCAGAAATTATCATAGAGCAGGAAAGACTAACATTTTCTTTATCATACTGGTAACCTTGAAAGGATTTATTTCTTTCACTAAGAAAACTGTAAAAAAGGTACAGCAGTTGAGATATGCACTGAACTGCACATACCCTGAGTGTGATTTCTATAGAATCTAGAAGATATAGCAGAGGAAATTCAGAGTGAAAAATAATCAACTCAAGGGGCACCCAGGTGGCTCAGTTGGTTAAGTGTCTAACACTTGATTTCAGCTCAGGTAATGATCTCACGGTTGTGAGATGGAGCCCCATGCCAGGCCTGCTCAGCGGAGAGTCTGCCTGAGCTTCTCTCTCTGCCCCTCCCCACTCCTCGCTCATGCATACTCTCTCTCTCTGAAATAAAAATAAATCAATCTTTAAAAAAAGAAAAATAATCAACTCAAGAGCTAAAGAGGGAAGAAAAATTAAGTAAGTCTAAAGAGAATGTGTTTGGGGATGCCGGGTGGCTCAGTGGTTGATGATCTGCCTTCGGCTCAGGTCATGATCCTGGGGTCCTGGATCAAGTTCTGCAGCAGGCTCCCTGCAGGCAGCCTGCTTCTCTCTCTATGTCTCTGCCTCTCTCTGTGTGTCCCTCATGAATAAATAAAACCTTTAAAATAGATAGATAGACAGAGAGACACAGACAGGAAGTGTTTGGTACCATTACTAAAACTTCTAGAAGAGTTTTTCTAAAGGAATTCCAGATAAAAAGTCATCACCTGAGATGGTCTTGGCACTTTCCATGGCAGGTACTCTTGGCAGAGAAGCAGGTCGGCTGGTTGAAGAGGTTCGTAATAGATGCTCTGTACAAAATGGTAAAAAAAAAAAAGAGAGAGAGAGAGAGAGACACTGAACCAAGGTAACAAAAGGTAGCAAGAAAGTGAGCTCTTCTCCTCTTCCTCCTTCCTCCTCCTAGGCTCATCCTTCTTTCTCAGTCCAGGGTACTCTAACAATTCCCCACAGAGTCCACATCTACAAAAGAGCTTCTGTAGACAAGGACTGTGGGAAAACATTTATGTTCTGGAGATGAGATTTGACATAGATGAATGTTTCTAAATCACCAACTGCTACTTTTTGACACAATTTAAAACCAAAATTCAAGATCCCCTACCGTAAAAGTACAAACTAAATCAAAGCCTTGCCCTTCTGTGCCTACCAACAGTGGGGAAGCCATACATATACACCACCAGAGAAAATCAGGAAAGGACAATTAGAATAAGAATGACAAGGATTATCAAACCGCAGCGTGTGAAGCCATTCATATGGCTTTCAGGCAGCAGGGAGGCCTTCAACATGATGTTAAGCTGGGCTTTACTAGTAGAGAGGAGTGGGAATGGTATTTCAGGGCTAGACAACAACAAACAAACAAACATACAAACGTATAAGGTGAGTTACAAAACAATAAAATGCCAGTGTAGCCTCAACGTGGGCCATATGGAAATCAGAGAGGGTGGCAGAAAAAGGGACTCTGAAGGGCAGATGAGGCTAACAAGAGCCTTGGTTACCTGGTATGTGGACTTTGGTCTGAGGCAACAAGGAAGCCCCAGATGGTTCTGTGAGTGAGGGAAGGACACAGATAGGTACTGCCTCTACTGCCCAAATTGCAGCTGTGCTCTCTTCCACTCTTCCCATGCTCTCTAGACATAAGCAGCCTTCCTTGGTAGTTTCTGGAGTTCCTCACTCATTGGCACAAGCTGCTCCCCTGCTTCCTATCCTCTTCTTCCATACCCTCTGTAGGCCGGCTACTTTCATCACCCTTCTGATCTAGCTTCCTAGGGCTCCAAGCCTAAGAAGGCCAAGCACCAGGACAGATGGACTAGATGTGCTTTGCCTGGTTGCCATGTGCTAAGGATGTGTGATTAGCCTGAGGGAAAAAAACCATCTCTTAAATTTACTGAAGACTATTAGCCTCACTGACCAAGAGTGGCCCCACAGCAAACATATGTTAACAGGTCATTCACCACTTCTTTTTATGAACTAATTTAAAAAATAGCTCCTCTCAAATATCATGATGTCAAAAATAATGGCATATGACATCTTTCAAGGATAGTGCATTTATTATTCCAAAATCTATTTTCTAAGTATATGAAGAACATTTGGTTGTCATTACACACAACTTTGGGAAGGATGAACTTACTTTCTTAAGGAAGATAGGACTTACACAGCCTAGATTCACTACATCTTTCCAAACATGAACAAACATCACCTCTGTGTGAAGAGCCCATAAGCAAGCACCAATCAGAATTGTGAACCCCGTGAGCAATTGGCATTCATCCTCACAGGAAGAGCATATTATGCACAAAGTCTGACAGACAAAACAAAATTAGTAGAACACGGAAATAGTAGGAAACAGAAGTCAACATTTTTAATCAAAATTTCCATTTTACAATTATGCACTTAGTCATTTCCCTAAAATCTTCATTTCCCAAAGAACACAGCAAATAAAGAAAGTGAAAACAAATGTGGCAAGCAGGAGAGATTTTATTTTATAGTAACAAAGTCTATTCTACTGCCATATGGAGCTTTTCTTGTCTTTAATCCATTCACTAAACAAATATCATTTGGCCGTCCACTACTCGCTAGGCACTGGGCTTGGTGAAAAGGCCAGAGGAAGGAGGCAAGAAACTTACCCTTATGGAACTTACAATCTAGAGCAGAAACCAGGCATTAAAAAAAATAAAAAATCATTACAAGTGAGGGATGCTAGGAAAGAACAAGTGCATGGGGCTCTGGAAACACAACAGAGGACGTGACCTGCTCTTGGGGGGAGGTCCGGAAAAGCCTCCTCAGGAAATGACATCTTGGTTCAGATGAGAAGGGTAATTAATAGCTTTTACACAGGCAAAGGAGAGGTTGGAGGGGAGAGGGTGTTCCCAGCTAAGTGCTCAGCACACACCAGAACAACTCCAGGGCATCAATGTTCAGAGGATAGGGGAAAAGAGCAGCAGATGAGGCAGCAAAGGCAGGCTGGGAGGATCAGAGCAGGCAAAGGAAAGTATGCAGGCAATGCAGGCCAAATTAAGGAGTTTGGACTGTACCCTGTTGGCAATGGGAGCCAATGAAGGTTTTATTAGGGGAGCATCTTTGTGGCTGCCTGCAGTGGAGTAAAGAAGCCACACTGCATGCAAGATGGTATGTTAGCCTGTACAGAGGAGAGGTGAGGAAGGCTTTGGGTTTGGGTGGTACTGGGGGGGATGGAGAGAAGTAAACAGGTTCAAGGGCTCTTTGATGAAGCAGAATTAACAGACTTGCTGACCAATGAGATATGAAAGTGACAAAGAAAGAGGTGCCAGGTACAATGATAAGAAAGGCAAAGAGTATTATGGGAAAAGAGAGATGAGAGCAAGCTGAATTTGAGAACCCTTTGAGATATGCAGGGGAAGACGCAGAGCAAGCAATTACAAGAGGTTCAGAAGAAAAGGGGGGTTCAGAGGGGATGTGGTATTTTGGAAATTATCAGCATGTAGCTGATGGGGTGAGAATGAACTTGATGACATGGAGGCTATGGTAACCTTGATTAGAGCAATTTCATACACTGGTGGGGACAAAAGTAAGGTGAAAACATGTTGAGGAGATAGAGTCAGAGAGGAAGGAGACAAGCTGCACAAGAGTAAGAAAGAATACAGTAGTTGCAGGAGGTAAGGAAGGGAGAGAATTCTTTTTCTTAACCTAGCAGAGATGTGAGTATTGTTTAAAAAGATTTTATCCATTTATTTGACAGAGAAAGAGCACAAGCAAGAGGAGGGTCAGAAGGAGAAACAGACTCCCCAGGCTCATACCAGGACCCTGGGATCATGACCTCAGCCGAAGGCATAAGTTTAACCAACTGAGCCACCCAGGTGCCCCAGATGTGAGCATTTTTAAATGACAATGGGAGGGAAGCCAGTAGACAGGGTAAAGTTGAAGATCTAGGAGAAGGGGATCATAGCCCGAGGCTAACACCATCTGTGACAGCCTATGGGGACAAGATCAAGGCCTCAGAGAAAGGGATAAACCTACAGAGATGTTCTGCTCACCTTTGACAGACAGGCAGCAGTAACAGAAGCATACTGGGTCTGCTATTTAATTCTCTCTTATTTTAGAAATCACATAAACAGGTACAAGCAGTTGTCCCTTTATTATTTCCCAAAACAAATTTAAAGGCAAAATAGTGGGCTTTAAAATAGGAGCCTAAAAAATAAATAAAATAAATAAAATAAATAAAATAAAATAAAATAAAATAAAATAGGAGCCTAAAGAGCCAACTTCTCAGACTAGTTCCAAATGGATGGATGCTCCTGCCAAAAACGAGTATAAAATCTGAAAAAAATCGAAAATCAACCACTTCAAGGCACTGAAGAGAATCCAAAAGCAGGCAGAAAAGGAAAAGAGTAAACACTGGGAAGAATGAAAGAACACAGGTAATTTTCCAGATTATGGCTATAGGCATGAGTACAGGCTCCGGGTAAGGCCATACAGGGGGGCTGGTAGGAAGCCTACAGCTTTACTGCTTTGAGAAGCAGAAGACAGATCTCAGGACAACCAAAACTGTTGAAAAGGGAGAAGAGCAGGGTGACAGCAGAAAGAATCACAAATTCTGTATATAGACTGCCCAAATCTCTCACTGACCTCTGAAAACTACAAGCACTCAGATTCCAAGGAGCTGAATTAAGGGCAAAATAATTGAACAGGTATTTAAGATGAAGAAAAAGAGGTGGGATGGAGTTTGAGGCGAGCCAAGGTAACTGCTGGCTATCAAAAACCAATTTTCTGCAGAGGAACAAAACAGAAAACAATCTCTACAACATGTGATTCACACCAGCCAGAATCCAATTCAAAACTACTAGACATACAAAGAAAGACAAAAAAGCAACCCAGAGTCAAAACAAATAGAAACCTACCCAAAGATGACCCATGTTGGAATGAATGAGCAAAAGAGAATTTTAAAGATGCTTAAATAAGCAAATGAGACGTCTCAGCTGAAAGAGTTGTAAGAGTGTGAAAAGGGCGCTCCCTGAGATGCAATATGTAAAGGCAGCCAAAAGCTGAACTTGGAGTGGACACTGAGAACACTCATTCCAAACAGCAGCCCTCTCTAAACACAAGGATCAGTGGAACAGTTGGAAGTCTTCTGTGCACTAAAGAGCAGAGCAACTTAATAAACTGCTGTGCACTAAGGAGGAGAGCAACTTAATAAACTGAAATCCAGCTCAGCTCCTGAACAGATCAACTCAAAATCCCACACTAAACACCTACCGGAAGGAGGGGCCCATGTCAAGACATAAAACCAATCTACTACTCTCTACAAGATGTTCAGCTTTCAACAAAGACGTCCAAAATACACAAAAAGCAAGGAAAAAACAGTATATTGAGTTCACCATGTCAAGGCACAAAGTAATCAATAAAACCAGACTCAGACATGGCAGAGATGTGGAACTAATAGGGCCTTTAAAGTCTATGATGAATATGTTAGCCTCTGATAGAAATAGTAGACAAACATACAAGATTAATTAGGCTTTCCTATTTGACCTCTGCTTAGAGTTTCCACCTCTTTGCTGAAATTAGACAAATAAAACTGTGAGAACCACGTCTCTGATTCTCAACTGAAGGCAAATTTGCCAATATGCCATTGTCTTCAGGCGTTTTTCATTGTCATACCTGGGGCAGTAAGGTGCTTACCATCTAGTGGGTAAAGACCAGGGAGGCTGCTGAACACCCTACAATGCACAGAACACAATGAATTTTACTAAGATACAAATTTTTTTTTTAAAGTCAACCAGAATTGGGGGATGAGGGGATGAAATGCAGACGGGACAAAATTAAT